GGGTCTAGCGCAGATGCTGTGGCGGAGCAGCCGGCGGCCGAGCCGATGGAGTGACGCTGCTCTCTTTGCGATTGATTAAAAGTGGGTGAGGAGACTAGAGACTTTCTTCTAACTTTCCAACCAGTCGCTGGCTGCAAATGCTGCCCACGTGATTCCACTGTAGTACTGTCCAGCCAGGAGGGTTTGGATTTGTCTCAAGCAGGGGAAAGCTATGTATTTTACGGCCATTAAACTGTAGCGAGCTTCCCAGATCAATTCGAACAGCCCCCTGCCCTGCAGAGAGTTCATGTGCTTACGTGAGGGCTCTGAAGCCTTAGATTATGCTTTGATTTCAGGGACACACTGCTGAATTCAGGTCCCAGTTTCATTTTTAAGGAACAAAAACGTCTTATTTTTTTAAATGCCCCCCCGTTGGTGACTCAGCGCTGTGTTTTGCAGTGGACATGGCGGAGGAACAAGGCTGCTGGTTAAGCACCTCTCCCAGTGTAGGTGGAAACTCTCCGCGGAGCAGGTGGATGTGCCGCTGGGGCTCCCGCGCGGGGCGGCTGGCGCCCCCTCGGTGGGTCAGCAGTGAATTCCCTCTGGGGCATGGGGAAATCGCTCATGTGGGTTTGCATCTAGAGATCTGTGGGAGCAGGAAAGTGGAATAAATGGCTTTGCTGAATGCTTTGCAGTGGGCATCGTTCTTGAATGCCTGGAGGGTTTCACGGAGGCCGCAGCGCTCCTGCGTGAGCCTGAGCTCGGTGGGCTTCCTCCTGCCTGGTGGGAAGCAGTGGCTCCCGTTGGGTGGGTGTGGGACCCTGAGCATGGGCTTTGGGCTCCGGGTGTGGGGTGACTGATGGGACAGCACGCTGCATGGTCGGCCCTCCATCTCTCCACCCCTGCCGCAAGGCAGGGGCTGAACCGGGGCGGTGGGGATGAACATGGCGTGGCTCAGTCTGGAGCTGTCGGGCTGCTCTCAGAGCAAAAAAAAACCGACGACGACGAAAAAAAAACCCAATAAAACAAAAAGCATGACGGCAGGGAGCCCTGTTTGGGCTGTCCTGCTGCCAGCGCGCTGTGCGCCAGTCGCTGCACTGGGG